GGGGGGGGGGGGGGACTCCCATATAAAAAGGAATGTGGTGCTCGTTGTACATTTTAGGGGTTAAAAAGACGGTTTTGGTACCTCTGAGGATGTTCAGCCTTAACAGGTCTACAGTAGGAGTTTTTGCGGCACCTTGTAGAATCTTGAGCCGAAAAAAACAAATGACAGGAGATGATGTGTTGCTTTAGAATTGATACCTCTTTGGGGTGAAAAAAATTCACGCCACGCCCACAAAACAGGATCTTGGTACTTTTAGGGGTTCTTTTTAAAATTTCCGACGAGCACCGCCATTCTTTTTATATGGGAGAGTCTTCCCCCCGGGAACGTAACTTTTTTTTATTTATCGGCACTGCATTGTACATTATTAAGTAAGCTAGCCTCTAAAGCATCCCAAGATCATCCACTTGATCTTTGTAACATAATGCCACATGCGAAGCGTTTTTTTTTGTGTGTGTGTGTATTTTACAGTTCTCATTAGTGTTTTCTAACTAGCGCCGATTTTCATTTAATGTAAGGCAGCTGAATATATATCAATATTTCGACAGTATATCAGATTAGTTTTTACAAACCAACGTAGTTTTAGATATGCATATGGATAATTATATTATATTATTAGGTAAAGAGATAGTGTTACAGTCAGATTAAAGAGACAGGCTTTTGCAAGCGAAGAGGGAATTTATATTTCAGATATTTACGGCGATTTGTAGACTTCAGGAAGCTGGGCTTGGTTTTGTGTCAAAATCAGTTTCTTGCTCGAAGTTTTTCCCCTGCGAGAAAGATTCTGAGATTGGAACCTAAAAGCTGCATGCTGTTAAACGCAGAATTTCACAGTTCTCTCCAAGATTCGTGGTAGTCTCTTATTGGTTTAAAGCCGGTTGTGAATTTTCGCGGGAAAAGAAGAACCAATCAGAGATATTAACACCGAGCTACGTCATCAGAATGGAATGGGTGTTTTTGGCTCGAGTCGGAGACGTCCTTCGAGCGAGGGCAACCTCATTCCCAGGGGTCCCCTGGAAACGAGGTTGGAGCGAGGGAAGGACTGAACAAAAGAAGAGAGACGTAAAGCTCGTCTCTTGTTTTTCATATGTATAGCTTTAGCCTTATACGGGTAAGTCTTCGGAAACTGTTTTCAGATACAGGACAGTGGACTTTGCCATTTAACTCGGCCTAGTCGCGTTTAGAAATTTCTCGGCAGACTGAACTAACGCCACTAGCTATCAAGTCAAATTAGCTTCATTTTGCAACTTTGTGAGATAAAATCCACATTTTATGGAATATATATATATCGGCAAATAGGTAGACATTCTTCATTATGTGGTGCAACCTCAGACTTGGCAAACATTGTATAAAACGGGCATGTATATGTAACAAACTTGGAAATAACGATCACAGATGTCAGGAATCACGTATCCAACACACGACGGATTTAGCGAACATCGGACGTAACGAATATCGCCCATAACGAAAATTGAATGCAACGAAAACCGGGGCTAAGAGATATTGAACATAACGATATTGAATACGTAACGAACTTGGACATAACGAACTTGCATAATGACTGGAAACTAACGAACTAGGATCTTTTAAACTGCAGGATAAAAAGATGAAAAAATATAGACTTACTGAGATGAATTATATAAAGTGAGAGCCGAATCTTTTTTAAACAGCTGTTCCTTCTATCTTCTATTGAGGTTGCGTCGTGTAAAGAAGCTTAAATGTAAATAGCGCATTCATTCCCTAAGATACCCACGGCATTTCATATATCCAGAAATTTTTTGTAACACATATTCAAGTTGATGTACGCGAATCAGTCACGAAGTCTTCTCTATAGAGAGTTTTAACACGTAGGTCTTAAAGTTAGCTGAACTATATTTTGGCAGCCGAAGTCGTCAATCTTTTTTTCGTCCTTAAAATGTCTTTTTATAGCTTTTTCCACTCTACAGCGAGTTTTCACATCTAAGTCTTAAAGTTAGGTGAAATATTTTTTGGCAGCCTATGTCGTCAACTTTTTAGTGAGAAATGTTCTTTTAGGTTCTGTAAAAAAATATGAAAATGTTTCGTCCTTGAAATGTCTGTTTTTTTAGCTTTTTCCACTCCCTAGCAAGTTTTAACATGTAAGTCTTGAAGTTAGCGGAGCTGTATTTTGGTAGCCTATATCAATCCTTTTTTTTTTTTTTTTTTTTGAGGAATTTTCTATTGGGCATCATCCACACTGCGCCAGACGAATTTGAAAACGGAGGTTTCACTCTGAAAACGCATCAAATGTTTTCCGTTCACACAACGCCGGGGGAATTTGAAAACCGAACAATCACCGGTCATTTTGGATTTGTGTTTGAGGAAAACTCGGGCAGGGAAATGACGCAATAATCGTGATGCCATCGTTTTCGAAAGCGTCGTTTTCAAAATGTTTTGCGTCCACACTAAAACGCAAAGCCGGCGTTTTAAAATTCCTCCGGTTTGAAGAGCGTTTTTGAAAAGCTCCTTTTTCGTGACGGATTAGTGTGAACGGTTAGGTCTAACCGTACTGTTGAAATAAACTGCCGTTCAAATTCTCCCGGCATTTGTGAACGTTGCCTTAGGTTCTGTAGAAAATTTCAAAAAAAGATTGTGAATAAACATGTCACTTAAGCCAACTCACGAAGTGCAGTCTATAGATCTCCAAATACTATCTTTAGGGAACAATTCAATTTAAGTTGACAGATGGAAGCCAAAATGCTCAATAGAAAAACTTCGTGCCTGAAAAGTCGAAAAGTACATTCTATATTTTGTATGTTCTTTATAAATTGTATTTATTACTGACAGAATAATGATATGGACCTCTCTGGATTACAGATTACTTCAAATATGCAATCTGTAAATTCTGCATGGAAACACCGATTAAAAAGTTTTGTTGAACGTGGGAAGCTTGTTGTGTCTTTTGTTGTGTCGTTTAGGAGAATTTTGCCTCCACGTGCAATTAATTCTCCCAGGTAGTGGTAAAAACTCTCTAAGCACGCGATCGAGGTTCATTTATATGCGCGTAATACTTACACAGTAACTGTGAACCTTTAAGGCAAAACACCCTAAATCGTTCCAAAATACGATTTTCAATCCCTGGTTATTACGAGCGTCTCCACGTGGGCTGCATATAAGGGTTACTGACCAAGCGTGAGGTCAACATGGTTGGATATTGAGCAAGTTCTTTTTCCTTTGCGTGTATATGGACCAAGATGCAATCGGGTTCATGAACAAGCAAAACGAACGAGGCGAATATCCGACCTTATAATCCACCAAATATTTTCGTCCGCGCACGATTGGGCTAAACGTATCACGTGACTGAATATGTCCCAGCTAAAACTGGGGAATATCCGAGTGACATTCCCAAATTTCCAAACCTGCACGTGTTGCTAAAAACATATTTGAAGGATCAATAACACAGTAGCCTCTATTTGGAGCGAAAATACTCAGACATTTGTCCTTGAACATTATCTGTTCCTCAAAGCTCACAGTTTTCCTTGAGCTACGCTCTCGGACAACTGTTCGCCTCTCGGAACATATGATGTCCGCGGACAAGTATCCGAGCTTATTTTCGCGCCAAACGGAGGCTATTGTTAATATCTTGACCTGACAAGCTTGTACAATAAATGATTTATTGTAAATGTACTGTAAATGTATCACTTAAAGGATTTTGTTTTTTTTTTTTTTTTTCTTTACGGGACGCATCGAGTAATCCCTAGAGGACAAGATAGCCCAGTCTTGCTCGCTTTTCTCGGGTGCGGGATTTAATTCATCTTGCCCAATCAGGAGCTAACCAGGCCCTCGGGGTGATGAACTGAAGTAAGCCACTCTATAACACTAACATATTTAACTATAGTAAATCAGTAGCAAACGGTGAGATTGTTTCTGTCCTTTTAATAATTATTCTACTAAAATTCCACGTCCACCTTTTTTTTTTCCGACAGACATACATCCAAATTGATTTTTTTTTATTGACAAACTACCTATATTCATTTCACGTGTGGCGTAATTACTTTACATCAAAATGTACGTTACACGTTCAATTACGTCCTACTAACAAAGGGAGAGCAAGAAAAAACAGAATTAAAGCAAACTGAAAATGCAAGTCCACGTTGACGTGCATAATAGAGCATTTTCGCGGTGGCCATATATCGGTGTTCCCAAACAACTGGGCATTTTTGCCTAAAAAAAGAACACATTTCCCAAAAACCAAAGAAAGTTGGTTGTTTGGGAAAATCAACGTGACCGCCGTGGAGTGATCTGAAAATGCTGCATATGTGAATTGGACTTGAAATTTGTCAGGTGATGAACTACCTATTCAGGTATAAAATAATAATAATAATAACAACAACAACAACAACAACAACAACAACAATAATAATAATAATAAAAACACTCTTTAAAATTTATGCTTGATCACCAAAACGAAGAATATTGACGGTCTCTATCTTGGGTCTCATTCACTATTTTAACAATAGAGTGTTTCTGTCGAGGAACTATGGGCTGATAGTTGCCCCGCGGAAATTTGATGTTCTTAAAACGAATATGCTAGTTTATATGAATATGCTATATGATATATGCTATATGAATATGCTATATGATAGTTGACGAGGGCTGCGCCCTCGTCAACCATCACGGAAGATGAACCTGTTGGCAAGAATGGAATAAACACGTCATACGCAAGACCAAGCCCCAGTTGTCCCAAGGCTGGATAACGCAATCCACCGTATAAATCAGTAGCCAGCAGATAGGTGTTAACAAAACAAACCTCGCCTTCGAACAACCGGGGCCAGCGTATCAGCTTGTCCTTATAATGTTTTAAATATCTGCCAAAATTGCGTCTGAGTCAAAGATGTTATGAGTCATATTATTACGAAAAGTCATTTTTGCTTGGAATGGTTACTCCAAGTTGGTTTTGACTGCCAACATGGCAGTCTTTGCATCAGGCCTGTTGTAAGATTTCTCATCTTGTTTTAAGCCCTTACTTTCACTCGCCGTTAAGGCGCACTATTTCAGCTCTAGAAATATGGACCTAATACGATATCAAGAACTAAATTTTCATTTGAACTCAACAGAAATAGGAATTAAAATAACATTAAGTGTAACAATAAACCATAATTCCTTGACCTTAAACACACTTTTTTTTTACGAACACCACCATAAGTTTGAAAACTTTCATTGGCGATCGCCAGACTATAGAGTCACTTAAGTAAGGTTAATTAAACAACATAAATAAACGTAAAGTTACTAACAGCGAAAGTAGCGACTCCTCGAAAGAAACGACACAATTCTGGGGGAGTGAAGACTTAAAACACAACCACCACAAAAAGGAAATTAGTTAATACCTAATTTATTCGGAGAACAAGTGCTGTTGTGACAAAATCATCGTTTAACACTCGTTACGTTTCCGATTTTCAGTAGCCAATAAGACAACAGCGCGATTACTCGAGAGTACGCCGAAGTTGTCACGACGTGACGACATGACGTGACGACATGACGTGACGACATGACATGTCGCGACGAGTATTGGAGCTCACTCTTTGAACTCAGACGAGACAAGGTTGGTAACGTTTTAAGTATTGGTTCACAAACAAGTTAGCAATGTATTACTACAAACTGATATAAAGTCGTCATTTTTCCTTTAGCGACTCAAATGTGTTTATATATAACAACTTTCACGAACGTGTTCTGTGACAGTTTCTACAGAGAAATCTCTTTAATGGATAGTGAAAATATATTTGACTTCATAAAAATTTTCTAATACATAAAACCTTTGTGAAACACCTACTATTCTATATCGATGGCTTGCTCTTGTCATTTGTTACCGTCTTTTTCAAGCCGCCTTTTCTGAAGTCGCAGATGGAGTTTAACAAGGCGCCTCGTTCTTGTGATTTTGGCGGGGGCGATGTCTTCTTAGCGGGAGCCTGGGAGGAAGGAGCAGGCGGCGGAGCAGGAGCTTGGGGAGCAGGCGGAATAGAAGATGAACCTGTTGGCAAGAATAGAATAAACACGTCACAGGCAAATAATTAAAATTTATACTAATGAGCATAAACTGAACTAAAGCAAATTGAGTTTATAGCCGTTGAGCAGACGAAGACTAGTTTTGCCAGCTGAAATACCAACCGACGAGTAATGAACTGCCGTTTTTACGTAGTGCCAGTAAAACAGTTTTGTTTTCCCTCAAGCGGTCCTCGCCCGATTCAGAAATAAAGATGAACAGTACGTTTGAAGTATAGAGCGGTTTTCAATTGAGAGTTGTAAAACCAAAACCAAACCAATTACTCACCAATTAGTCTATTCAGCCAATCTCAAACAGTAGTGAAACCAAAACCAAAGTAATTGCCTGATTAGTTTTAGCACTCAATTGAAAACCGCTTTATGCCTAGTGTGATAGCTTATTTTACAAGCAACCAGGCGTAACTTAAACTGCATCAGAGATGGGCATTCAATATACACAACAATATGAAAACCTGGTGCATCGTTTACACTGAAATCCACAGCCGTCGGACAATTTGGAATAGAATATAAACAAGACGAGATCAAGGATGTTTATCATTGTTGAAAGTTCTGGTTTATTACAATAAAGAAAGGTTCACAATATTTTGACTCTAATTTAGAGTCACTTAATATTGATCAAAACAAGGGGACAGCCAATAATGCATAACGCAATCATAGAAAAAGATGTAACTCTTCAGAGGGTTTGATTCCCTATAATCAATACTAAATTTTAGCCGACTTTTCGATGTAGATAGCCTCATGTAATATCGCCTTATAGGCCATTTGCGAGTTGCCGTTTGTCTCTGTGTCAAAACGAGTCTTGGTGCAAAACCATTGTTATGAATAAGCGTTTCATTTGTAATTTCATTTTCAAGTGCAAGTCACTCATTTTCATGAGAAAAGTTCTGCACGGAACAGAGGCAAAAGGCAACCTGAAATGGTCTATTAGCGTTTATGTATAAGGTGTCAACTTGTTTCGAAATTAATTTGATGACTGACTCTGAAATAGAACCGAAATATTGTAAACCACTCCTTGTTGTAAAAAACTAGAACTTAGTTTCAACAATGGTAACATTCTCGGTCTCGACTTGTTTATTTTCAATCACACTGGGTAGCGCCATTTTAAATTGGTAAGAATGCACAATGTGGAAATAGTACTGTTTTAAAAGACTTTCCCTGTTCGCACGGACTGACATGGGAAAGGTCAATGTGACTAGTGTCATGTGCGCTGCTTGTCGAGGCAAGCATGAAGCTAAGAAGGTTGCTGGTCTGTTTCTCTTAAACACAGCACTACACTTTGCAGAGGTACTATCAAGATCAGGACTTCGACAAGCCAAGACCTAAATATATCAGTCTTGCTTTGTTAAAAATTACTATACAATTGGACTGAAGCTACGAAGGGAGTATTTAAGGAGTCATACATGCATAAAGGGCTGTGATGTCAAATTGAAAAAGTATGGCAGAGTTTTCCAAACCATATGTCTTGAAAAAAATGCATAAAAACTAATTACAAGTTAGCATCCCTTCAACAATTCACTTGATATCCTCATTTTCGAGCTTTTGGAGCAATTCGAGTTCAACTGCTCAGTCATAATTTTAGCAGTCGTCGTGATAATGTCCCTTCAACGACTCCCTAATTTATTATAATCAAGTCTAGCTGGGATATAGATAAGCTCTTACACACACCAGAGGTTGGAGTCCGCGGTGAAACGGGCGCAGGCGAAGATGGCGGACGGGCAGCGGCTACAAAAAAAAGACAACGTAACACAAAACTCAAACAACAGCAAATTAATTTAAGCACTATAAAAGAAAGAAAACCCGACATACAGCTAAAGGCAGCAACAGGTAGTTTACTGTGAGTTTCCTTTGCCATGGTGAGAAGGCCCTTTCCTATTTGCGAGGCCTCGATATTTTGCCTCAGTCAATAGTTTTCGGGTCACGTGGCCCGAGGCGTAAAGAGGACTCCGGGGAAAACGCCACCAAAATCAATTGACCGCGAAGGCTTGAGAGAAAGCCGTACAGGAACTAAGCAAAGAAGGCCCAACACATACGACAAACCACTTGTCTGTGGCTTTTAGTACTCAGGCTCCTCGGATGGACATGTTTTCATGTTACAACGCCTATCGATGAAGCAATGAGGAACTCTCTTTCACAGCCAATTTTGATTGTCACACAACGCTCCTCAGTGGAGCATTGCGTGACGACCTAAATGAAAACGGGGTTATGGAGCACCAGTCCCCTATGCAGACATGCTCGGCCCGTCACGCAATGTTTCATCCCCACGGAAAGATTACGTGATTAAATAAGTTCTTAGTTATCTGTAGAGGATTTCATCCATAATATGGGCTTAAGGTGGCTGAACACAGTTTTTGATACCTGTGTTTCATTCACCTTTTTCTCTAAAACCCTTGATCCCTCGGTCGCCAAAAAATAGCAGCAAGCAAGTTAACAACACAAACTTTGGTTTTTTGATGGTTAAGCTGACGTATGTGCCGTTGTCATGGCAACATGAATAAATATAAACAGGCCTTTAAAATCGGTTTTGTTTATTTGTAGAAAATCGAGTCATTAGATTTTCTTTATAATTTGCATGCAACAAGCTTGTAATGATTCTCACAAGTTAACACCATTTTGCTAATAATTTAACAGAGATCTTTAATTATCCCTTGTTGAGGGTTCACTGGAATATCTAGAATTTCCTTTGTTCAAGTGCAATTATTTTCAATAATTCAGGTACTTATTTCCTATAGTATTTTCGTGCCAAATTTCCTGAAATTCTAATGAGTGGTTCTCGAGAAATAGGCGTATTTCCAAGAGTGCAATTTTTCATTCAATTGCAATATTTTGACTTACTACGCATGCTCTGCATTTAACTGGGTTCTTTCGGTAACAAAGAAGAAGCTGAGAATTGCTGGGTTCTTTGCATCGTTACCTTTTCGGCTAACATATCCTTGTAACCAAAGACTTAAGCCATCAATACACTGCGTTCAGTTATAGAGAAAAATAACACAGATAGTGCTGGTGTCGAGTAAATAAAATGATCGCTCTATTGACGGCATGTTTGTTTTTTCCAATCCTTGTGCGCGCGCTTAATTGCATCAGCAAAAGCGCGCGCGAAAACTGTGTTCGGCCACCGTGTGCAGTCGCTGATAACTAATAGAGTATGATGTTTACATGTAATGGAAGTCTTGAATATTTTCACCAAAAACGTGGTGTAAAGATAAAACTTGTGTATATAATTATTGCAGTTTCGCCAAGACTTCAGAGGACTGAAGAAACTGAAGGTGAATACAACTTTTTCTTCAGCTATTTTTACATCAGGACACTTCTCTAAGCTTTGTCTGCTGACGAAAAAACATGAGCCCCAACAATATTATTTCACATTGCAAGTTGTAACAGTTGAGAGATTCCATAATTTAAGCTGATCGTCTGTTAAGTTTTAGAGCTACAGGTGAGAGTAAAATCCAATAAACATTTTTTCCTGCTCCACATTATGCTATCAAATAGATAGAAGTTTGAAAAAAATGCATAATGTTACCTGACGGTTGAGTCGTGTCTGACAATGAAGCCTCTTTCTGCAGCTGCGAGAAAACGAAGAAAACAAACCACTCACAGGAGACCGAAATGACCAAGGTTGGAGGGAGGGGAGGGAGAGGAGAGACGATCTCAATTACAACAAACAAACCCATATCAAGAGATGANAAGTGTGTATACCAAGAAAATACAAGTTACAAGTGGGATATTACATAAGGTGTGCCACGAGAAAAAAATTGCTCAACTATTTTATACCATGCCTTAGAAAATCCCGTGGTGGACAGAATCAATGCGACATACGTGCTGTGCACAATTGGAAGGTCGGGTGTAATACAGTCGAGTATACGAAGGCGTTCCTGTATTCTGACTGGCTGTAAGGCATGGTATAAAAACCAATATGTTTGCCCAGCTCTTATCTATCTGTCTGTCTGTCTGTCCAGTCCTCAGTCTGACTTCCAAAAATAACCAAGAGAGAAAAAAAGGGCAGTTCTTGTTCTAAAACTAATGGTGAGACAGTTGGTATTGATAGTAGCCGTAGAAAGCCAAGAGGAATAGAAAACAAGATCAAGATATTTCCACCTTCTTTGCCGACTTTTTCCTCTTCTTCTTTTCTTCCTCTGACATATGATGGGCATGCGCTTTCGATGCTCTGCGGAACTGCCGCAGCTGGTTAAAAAGAGAAACATAATCAATAATCAATAATTTATAAACAATTAAGTTAATAAAACGGACTTTAATAGCCTACCGTAAACAAAACAGGGATTCAAACAGATTAAATACTGTTTGTCTAATTACCATTTTCTGATCCTCCTTCAGTTTGGTCTCCGCGCGTTCTTTAGCTGTTTTAATAGCTTCCTTTAATTTACTTGAGATCTTAAATCAACAAAGGTAAGACACTGTACGGTTAGAACTGTAAGTAGANGCCGTAGAAAGCCAAGAGGAATAGAAAACAAGATCAAGATATTTCCACCTTCTTTGCCGACTTTTTCCTCTTCTTCTTTTCTTCCTCTGACATATGATGGGCATGCGCTTTCGATGCTCTACGGAACTGCCGCAGCTGGTTAAAAAAAGAAACATAATCAATAATCAATAATTTATAAATAATTAATTTAATAAAATGGACTTTAGAAGCCCAACGTAAACAAAACAGGGATTCAAACAGATTGAATACAGTTTATCTATTACCATTTTCTGATCCTCCTTCAGTTTGGTCTCCGCGCGTTCTTTAGCTGTTTTAATAGCTTCTTTTAATTTACTTGAGATCTTAAATCAACAAAGGTAAGACACTGTAGGTTAGAACTGTAAGTAGAGGTTTCCACTGTATGTGAAGGATTACAGGCGGCTACATTTACAAGACAAAAGCGATTTTGCCTCCACTACAAAACTGAACACAGCCAAAAGGTTACGGGGCATCGGCGCGTTGGTCAGCCAAGCCTAAGATATGTTTTAATTGAGACAATATTGTTACAACAAAGTGGATAAAAGATACATCAAATAAGACGTAACATGGGCCAAACCGGACACGTAAACCCCAAAAACCTTTATCAAATTAGGAAAAATAGGGACCGTGTACCCCCGACCAAATGCAGTGGCGCTACCTTTGGGGTTTAAGGTTATTATATAAACAACAGAGTGAAAGATAAATAAGATGACACTATTCACACAACACTAGAACCAAAAATAAACCTTTTCCGAAGCTGCGAGTGACAAGGCTGACCGTAGAATGTCACAAGTTTCTCAACCGTCTCTTTTCACAAAAGCACTAACCATGAGTCTTCACGAACTAGGCTCGCACCCAGCTCATTGCTCCGTGTCGATAAAATATTAATTTATGTCAATACCGGTTATCACAAATTACATCGGTTACCACCCATACAGGAAACAAGACACTGTTGNACTCCCCACCGACGCAGCACCACAGTTTCTTTAGAAACTTACCCCTCTAAATCACAGTAGGTCACATTCAGTACCTATAACTAAAGGAAAACCGTCACCACTCTGAATTTTCTGAAGAGTTTTACAAGGTTAATGCACACTTACTGAGTTGAGATGGGCAGTTAGGAGGTACATCATGCAATGTGCTGCTACGCAATGCATCACCAAAAGCCATCTCGTATAACACATGAGCAAAACAGTAAACGTCTTCAGCTTCCTTTTCCTAAAACGAGAGAAGATAATCTGCTTTAAGAAACAACATGAGCCGAAGTGTGAGGTGATTTGGGGTATCGCTGCCTCTGTCTGCCGGGATGGGATGCTAGTTCATCGCAGGCTACAATAAAAAATAAAAAATAAATAAAAAAAAATAGAGGAAAATATTGCAGTGCAAAGCCTGTTTCTTTTTTCTGGAAAAACTAAGACCAAAGGGTAAAGGTATTAGTTCCTGAAGGAATTGTTGGACTGCGTGGGTGGGCAAATGAAACAATACTTGGCAATTTATCGATGTTGAAGTTGATAAAGGCAAGTTAACTGCTGTGGTGAGTATGCGAAGATAACGTTTTGAGCGTTAACCTTACGTCAGAGAAAAGAAAGGGACTGTGGGTTGTACACATGTATGAGTATTTATTAAGTGGAGTACAGAGTTATGCTATGGAGGAAACATGACGATAAAAATTGCAAGTGTGAATGAAAAACGTTCGTTAATCCCACGGGGAGTCAAGGTACCGAGATGAAAGATAAATTACATGTACTTCTGTTCTGAATTTTACGACTTTTCATGTCAAGACAAAAGGGAAACTACTGCAGTCTACATGCAAAATGAAACAGTTACAAATCTTGCAGTTACTCAACAATAAAAACAAAACATTTTGTATTTAATATGTTTCTAAGAATCGACAAGGGGCATTGGCGAGATTCTTCTGTGCATGGGTAGATATACCTGTAATCTTAGAAACAGAGTTCCATTCGTTAAAAAGTAAATAGGTTAATTAATAATATAAAGTCATGTTAGTTAACATGTACCTGTATTTTTTTCATGGGAACATAGCGGTGTCTGTGAATGGACGGGATACCCATCAAGCCATTCTCAATTTCTAGTAATCTACATTTGTAGAGAAGAAGGCAGAAAAATGTTAATAAAAGAGTTTATCAATCGACCTTGTCTCTACGCCACATTTTAACTTCTCACGTGAAAATATTATGAATAAACAAAACAAAGAATCCACAGCTAGGTCTCTTTCTTTTTTTTTACCATTTTCGTCAAATATTTCCAAGTCAGGGATACTATAGTGAGGTAATTGACTCAATATGAAGCCAAATAATATTATAATCTAGCTGCTGTGTTAGAAAAGAACCTTACGAAGTGACCAGCCTGAGGGTTTTGCCGACCTACCTACACACATTTCCTTCCAAGACAATATTTCCTGTATGTAAATGACCTGCAACGGTAAAAACTATTGTTACGGTTCTCCTATATAATTGTGACCGGGAAAGCGAAAACGTCCACTAACTCTTTACCGTTAAACGGACAAAAATAAACATAAAACGGATAAAAATAAAATAAGTGTAGAGAAATGAAGAGTATTTCATACGTCTGTCCTGTTATTGATCATGAATTTCGTCATAACATTGTCAAAGTGGCTGATGGCCTCGTGGATTCACAGACTACTTAAACAATGTTATGACGAAATTCATTGTCAATAACAGGACAGATGCATTAAAAACTGACATCAATTTGTTTTTTACGATAACAAATTGTCAAATTGTCTGCTCTCGCTCGTTGACGCATCGCATAAATTATAAATTCATGTGTCTGTCTGCTTATTGAGAATAAAAATTAGCTACTGGGCGTGCGATAATTTCTGCAGTTATCGTAAAATATTTTTTGTTATATTTTTTTAGTCCAAAAAATATCTGAATTTAAAGATTAATCATCACTATGCAGTCAGTGGTTAATGCATACAGTACATGTATGCACTTGTTTTGTTAGGCAAATTTGAATTGTTTAAGGTTTCTCAAGATATGATACACTGCACCTGTCACTGCATTGGAGACAAATTCATTAAAAGGAGTGACCCCACCGACAATACTAACCATAGGGAATCCCTTTCTCATGTAAAAATTTTAATGCCTGAAAAATAAAGAACAATACCAAAGGTAATGTAGACTCTCAGACTGAGCCAACAGGCTGTAAATTTAGTCTGACCCATCAAGTGGTGTTGAACTGCTTGCTGTTGTAAAGTAAGCTACAGTTGTACATATATATATGTATTATTAGTGTACCAGAATGTCATGTGAAATAAAACAATTTCTCATTTACAGGAATCTCTGTTTGCAAGCAAAGCTAATAAATACAGCTGTACATCTAGTCAAGTGTCTTATCTAACTATTCAACAAGACAGCTATGACAAATATTAATAAAATGTATTGTCGTTTGTCACACGATGTAGTCACTTTAGATGTAGATCGCGACGTTTCGACTGCTTACTGCTAGTTTTCTTCAGGCGATAAGGCTGACCGCACGACACTTACACCAGTTCAAATCGCGGACCTCTTGGATTTCGTATTAAGATCTACGTACTTCCAATA